TTAGTAATGACGCATTTCACGCATTTTTTGAATAAGTATAAAAATGTATGTGTCGAGACTAGTGATTCGTTAGTACAAACTTCAAAAAGGAAATATATCAAAAGCACGCCTAGGTGTGTTTTATCATATTTAGAATGCAAAGACACAACTACAAGTGTTGTGAGTGGCTTAAAATACGTCTAGAACAGTCAGAAGCCAGTCATCTTTCAAGAAAACTGAGGATTGAATTTCAAGTTTCGATTTTATGCAAATATATACTTCCGCTTTCTTGTGCAAACTCTGCAGTATATATTAACTCTGCTCACTTCATACTAAAATAAACCGACTAAGTTTGTTTTCTAAGCGACCTGAAGCAAAATGGCAACATCTCAACAAGAGGTGGACTGGCAATCGACGAAGAAGACGGTGTTAGAACGAAGTCGTCATATGTTTAATAATCCGTTCATGAGCGATATCGCGTTCAGTTGTGAAGGCTCAGACAAGAAATTCTTCGCACATAAACATGTCCTCGCCACAAGTAGTGCTGTATTTTATGCGATGTTTTACGGCGAGCTGGCAGAGAAGAATTCAGTTGTTCATCTGAGCGATACTGACGAGGAAATTCTGGAGGAATTTCTACGATTTCTTTACACGGACGAGTGTAACTTGACAACAGAAAATGCCGTCTTTGTGTTGTACTTGGCCAAGAAGTATATCGTGCCTTCTCTCGCTCAGAAATGTTTTGAATATTTTGACGCCAACTTCACAGCAGAAAATGTTTTTTCACTTTTACAGAAAGCAATTCAATTTGACGAAAATAAACTTGAGGAGAAATGCTGGGATTTCATAGATTTGAAAACAAGCGAAGCTGTCGCTTCCGATGGATTTTCTGATATTAATCAAGCGACTTTAGTAGAGTTAGTGAAGCGAGAACCGTTGAACGTCAGAGAGGTTGATCTCTTCAAAGCAGTTTTAAAATGGAGCGAAGCGGAATGTTCAAGAAAGGGAATAGAAGCGAATGCAAAGAACAAACGAGCCGTCATGGGAAATGCAATCTATCAAATACGTTTTGTTTCTATGACCCTTCAAGATTTCGCTCAGAATGTTCCCCAGTCGGGTATGCTTACACCAGAAGAAATGCTTTTATTCTATGGGAAATTGGGTGGAGCAGAAAGAACGTCCAAAATATGGAATATGTCAGAAACAAGAGCAAAAGAAGATATCTTAATAAGATGTGGTATATTTGATGGCCATGTAAGTTGTGGATTCTCATCCACAGTGAGCACTTGGGAGGACACACTACGTATATCATTTAGTAAGCCAGTGAAATTTCACGGTGTTCGCTTGTTTGGCAAAAAGCAGAAGGAATATAACGTGAAGTTAGAGGTTTCGTCTCGAATAATTGAAAAGAAGTTTCATTCAAAACATAATGATTTTGGCATGTCTTGGTTTAATGTCATGTTACCTGTACCAATTAAGGTTCAAGCAAATTTTCCTGTTCATCTGAAAGCCACCATAACCGGATATCATTACGTATATTCCGCGCGTGTGAGAAAGACAGTAGAAACAAATGGTATTACTATAAATTTTGAAGCCAAGCAAGATAGCAGTCAGTTTGATAAAATTATTTTCAGTGAAAATTTAAATGAGATTCGGCATTACAATTTTTGAGATAATCGATGAATGATGGTGTAAACACTGTTGTTAATCACATTTTAATACAAAATGGAAGAAACTATATGTGGAGAAATTTTCAGGGACTGAGGGACAAACTGAAGATTATAACAGGCATTTTTAGGGGGCAGACCATTTGATTTTTGATGGGGAGGGGAAGAGCATGCCAAAAAAATTGCACAAGAAAAAATATCGAGCAATACATTTTTTATATGTGCACAAAATACAAAAACCGCCTTTCCCCACCCCCCTTGCCCCTGTTAGGGGTTTTAGGTTTCAGCTATACTTCCCCAAAGTATTTTAGTTCTAAAGTATTAATAACGACGGACTTTTGTGTATAAAGTACAAATTATTACCGACGAGTCTTCAAAATAGACGTTTTGTGTTTGCATTTAATTGTGTCAATTGTCAATAGTTATCGCTTCTAATGCCTCTAATTCGATATCGATCAGACCTCGAGGTCGATCAGACCTCTGGTGACTCTGGTAGCCGTGAATGGGGCCTTGTTTACTGTGTTTACACTACTGATATGAGTATACTGCATGATTTTCGTGAATGAATGAGCGTGCTTATGGGATACCGGATTTTAGTATGCTTATGAGCACGCCCATATATGTACCAAAATCTTGTAATATGCTCCTGAGCATGCGTATAAGCATACTGCATGATTTTAGGTATTCGTTATAGCCACAGCGGTTTGTGGCTATTACGAATATCGGATTTCGCCATACCTTGCAGCCTAGGCGGTTTGTGGCTATAAAGGATACCGGATTTCGGCATACCTTATAGCCACGACGGTTTCTGGCTGTGAATGATTAAAATGACATACATGTCATGATTTAATAGTTGAAAATCTAAGCTGAATCCATTCTTCTTGGAACCATATATAGAAACGCCTTTGCGAGATTTTACACATCAACCTCCTCCAGTATTAAAATCGTCGTTTTCCTACACGCGTAAAAACGCACAGTTTGTAACCAGTCTGCAAACAAGTTGTTACAAATCTGTTCACAATCTGTTAACAAGTTGTGTTCGCACTGCTTGTTCCCAGTTCGTTGTAACAAGTTTGGAACAAGCTGTTAACAACTTGTAACGAACTTGATGGCATTATCAGCCTTGTTACAAGATTGTGCCAACAAGTTTGTTACAGCCATGACATAACAAGGATGTTACCAGATTGTCAACACAAGGTTGTAACAATCTTGTTGCATCAAGCATGTAACGGACTTGTCAGAACAACCTTGCAACAAGTCTGATAATTTCGACAAGGTTGTTACAAGTTGTCAACAAGACAACTTCGGCTTGCCTTCGCCGTGTTTTGAAGTTTGCGATGTTGGCTGATCTTGACTTGCAAAACGCTTTTGTAAACAATGAGTAAATTATTTGGCATTCCAATATATAAGATGACAAAAATTTCCTACAAGATGTAAGAAAATTTTCTCCGAATATATTTTGTTAAAGATTTCTTGGCAACGGTGCTGATAACGTCCAGACTCAGCGGACGCGATTCGACAACGCGACGCGATTTTTTAGTTTTTGAAAGTTAATAAAACAGCCAAAGAGAGCAAATTGTGAAAGATATGTAGGTCAAATAACTCAAAATGTTATACCGCTTCTAAATATTTGGAAAATTTAAACTAGAATCAAAGTTATCGGTCAGTGAAAATCGAAAAATCACGTCGCGTTGTCGAATCGCGTCCGGTGTGTCTGGACCTTTTAGACATTTTCAAGCCGGCCTGGACTACCTGCCACACGTCAATCTCTTGTCACCAAACAAGAATAAACACATGATGCATAATATCATAGCTCACAGTATGCTAATCGCACGAGAATTTCTCGTGACAGGATCAAGTTCATTTCAATAATAAACACTTTGCCAAATATGATAGGAGCCTGTGTGTTTTAGGATTCACGTGCCGACTTTTTAGCTTTGCTCAACCGTCTGACAGTTGACCTCGTGTTACCAACAAGCTACCATACCATTCTCTGTCGGGTCTGTGACCAGACAGCGTTTCCATTTGGAAGGAAATTTCCTTCCAAAAGGAAATTTGGGCCTTTGGAAGGAAATTTGGAAGGAAATAGCATTTGGAAGGAAATTGGGAGGAAATATTGATATAAGGAGGGAAATGAGAAGGAAATCTATTTTATTTCATAATTTCTAAGAATAAGGCAATTTTCATACAATTTTATGCAAAAAGACTCTGAAAATGCCATTTCCAACGATCTAGAGACTCCATATTTTCAAAATTTTCAGCTCGGCGCCAACCATGGTGGCGCCTCGTGCGCCCCCCAAAGCGAGATCTCACGGATGTTTTTTTTTTAAAGTTGGCAACTATGTATCTA